AGCGGCAGCCCCCAGGACCAAGGGTTGAGGGTAGGGAGGTCTGTCGGGCAGTGGCCGCCCCCCAGGCACTGCTGCGCCGCGGCCTTCAGTGGGCCGAGCCGGGTTCCGTGGGCAGGCGGGCTGTGTGGCCGGCCGCGGTCACCTGCCCCGTTAAGGTGTTTGAGCTGATGCGGAGCAGAAAGTTGAGCTGAGGGTCCGCAGACGTGTTTGCTTTGCCCAAGCCGGAGAAAGGACTGAAGGAAATCCTTCCAGAGGATTACAGCTTCTCTGGGAAGCCCAGGCAACTCACTCTCGTTCCAGTTGCTGGGGCAGGACCCCTAAACTTAAGCTGGACCCATACCCTGGAAGCCCAGGAGGGCAGGGAGGTCAGCTTCACTTGGAAGTGGGGAGTGACCCTCAAGTTCTAGGAAGGAGTCTTTCAGCCTGGAGAAGTGGGGACAGAGGGAAAATAATTCCTCATTATGTCCCAGAACACACCTGGACATCAGAAAGATGCTTAATATTTTTCTTTCCCCACCATTTCTGCCTGGAGAAATAATACTCTCTTCTTGGAGAATTGGATGCTTGTGAGCTACCAGATTTCTGACGGGAATCTTTTGAGACATTCAAGGTGTCTCAGTGACGAATTGAGAGCATTAACTGGAAGATCTGTTAGAATTGTTTTGTGGTCTGAGCCATTTTTTATCAGCCATTTTGTCACTGTTGAATTTGGCCTAGATCATTCCCATTGCCTCCTCACTGTGTACCAGTCAAGCCAGATTTAGCAGCCTTAGTTAAAATTACGTGACCAGGAGGAAATAGCAATCTCCCTTTCTAGAACAGAAGTCTGCCAGCCACGGTGGCTCAAGCCTATAATCCCAGTGCTTTGGGAGGCTGAGGTGAGAAGATTGCTTGAGCCCATGGGTTAGAGACCAGTCTGCAACTTGGTGAGACCTCATCTCTACAATAAATCAAAAAATTAGCCAGGCGTGGTGACGCGTGCTTGTAGTTCCAGCTACTTGGAAGGCTGAGGCAGAAGGATCACCTGAGCCCAGCAAGTCGAGGCCACAGTGACCATGAGCGTTCCCCTGCACTTCAGCCTGAATGACAGAGTGAGACTGACTCAAAAAAAAAAGCAAAAACAGAAGTCCATTTTAATCAGAAGTGCTTGAAAGCTTGGATGAAGGTTAGAATGCTTCAAATAAATACATGCAGTTTGTTTTAATTCATCTTGCTATTCTTGAGCTTCTGACACCCAAAGAAAAGTTAGGCCTCCTAGTCCCAATAAATTTGCTATTTGGTTTTCCTGTAACACACATTAAGACCCTTTACATGACTTATTTAAAATGCTTGTGAAATGTTTACAAAAATCAGAAGTCTTAAAACAGCAGTGGTGATTTTGCATATTCCAAGACTGTATCAGTTGGTAATGTTACTGTACAATGAACTCTTCTTATATTTATTTACTGACCTGCCGGACTCAGGTGATCCTTTCACCTCAGCCTTCCAAGTAGCTGGGATTACAGGTGTGTGCCACCATGCCTGGCTAATTTTTTATTTTATTATAGACATGAGGTCTCGTCATGTTTTCCAGGCTGGTCTCGACTCCCCCAGGCTCAGGCAATCCTCTCACCTCAGCCTCCTAAGTGATGGGCTTACAGGCATGAGCCACTGTGCCTGGCTGAACTCTTCTTAAAAAAGTGCTGAATCTGAAATCTCAAATTTCAGATAATAATGTTGAGCCCATAAGTTATTTCATTATTGCAGCAAAATTTCTTAAAGTGATTTTAAGGGTTTTCCGTAATCAAACAATTCAGTGCTTTTATTTTTGAAACAGAGTCTCACTCTGTCACCCAGGTTGAAGTGCAGTGGCACACTCATGGCCATTGCAACCTCGACCTGCTGGGCTCAAGTGATCCTTCTGCCTCAGCCTTCCAAGTAGCTGAAACTACAGGCATGAGCACCACACCTGGCTAATTTTTTGATTTATTGTAGAGACGAGGTCTCACCATGTTGCCCAGGCTGGTCTCAAACCTGTGAGCTCAGGCAATCTTGCCTCTCCCTCCGAAAGTGCTTGGATTACAGGCATGAGCCACCACATGCAGCCAATTCAGTGCTTTTTGAACACTTATTTCAGCTGGGTGTGGTGGCTCACACCTGTAATCCCAGCATTTTGGGAGGTGGAGGTGAGAGGATTGCTTGAGTCCAGAGGTTTGAGACCAGCCTGGGTAACATGGTGAGACCTCGTCTCTACAATAAATCAAAGCCAGGCATAGTGGTGAGCACCTGTAATTCCAGCTACTTGGAAGGCTGAGGCAGGTCACCTGAGCCCAGCAGGTCGAGGCTGTGGTGGCTGTGAGCATGCCATTGCACTCTAGCCTGGGTGACAGAGTAAGACTCCTACTCAAATAAACTAACAAACAAACAACTAACACTTCTTTCAGTCTATCCCACTTCTGGCTTTATTCTCATTGTTCCCTGGGCTGCTGTTTTAGTTTGATTTTGCCAGGCCTTTACATATTGCTTAAATATGGCACTGATCCTCTCTCTACCCAGAAGCTTTGGTACAAGCATGTGTGGCTGCTGCTCAGGGTCAGTCCACATCTCCCAAGTCTCCTTTGTACCCATTTGGACTTAAGGGCTAGAAGTCCCTATTGTCCTAGTATTAAGTCTCCCACTGACATAAAAGCCAGCTGAACTGTTTTGGTTTATTTTTACAAGAGGACTAGTGGGTAAAAAGTACTAATGTAAAAAAGTATGCATATGGAAGTCTGACTGTAAAAAGCACTAACTTGGCCATCCCTTGCAGTGATCTCATGGGAGCCTGGAATAAGGACTTGGGCCTGATCTTGGAAATATGACAAGGAAAGAAGTCATCAATCCTGTCTGTAGCAGCCTGCTCCCTGAAAGTCCCACCAGTGTGGTCTTACACTGACTTCAGTGTTAGGTGTTTAGAAAGTAATATTTTGCCACTAATATCTGTCCATATTTGGCATAAATGAGCACTTGCTACATGCCAGGCACGGTGCTAAGTGCAATATTTTGTTCACATCATCAAGACTGAGCAAAGACATGCATGTGAAGTCTAATTGGAGATTGGGCAAAGGGTTTTATTGGAAAGTCTTTTTAGGCCAGATACTTGGGGGGTCCCTCATTGTTTTTGCAACAAGCTGCAGTGTTCCAAGTATGAACAACATCAGCAGGACCACATCATAAGATCTGCACTGGTGATGTTATGGGAAGTAGGAAGTAGGGAGAGGAGGAAGGAGTGCTTTCCATTCTCCTGAGATTTACAATCCATATAAATGCCCACCATCTTAACCAGAGTGCTTAGTAGTAATACCAATTTTACTTAGTAGTATTATAGTAGTACTTAGTAGTAATAGCACTCAATTCATGACATCAGCAGCCCCATCAGCCCTGCACTGCTCCACTGGACCTTGGTCCTGCTCCTACCACTGCTGATCCTCCATTTGTCTCTCACTAATCCTAGCCCTCCTCCCTTGCCCCTCATCTTCCACACTACCACTGCTTTCCTCCTGTGAACAAAGTGATTAGGAGAAAAACAGAGAAATGAGAAACGGTGAGAGATTAAAATACTGGCTCATACTAAACTGAGGCAGGGCTGAGATAAGACTGACAAGGAAAGGGAGGAGATCATGGTTGTTTCTACCACTTAAAATCGCTATATGTGATAGCCTGTTGCAAATGAATTGTTTCATCTTTTTCTCCCAAAGAACAGTTAGATACTTCTCTCCAGGGCCTTATCCTGGTAATAGGTTTTCCTGGTATTAGGTTTCTATTCCTGAAATACTTCTACCTTGTTCCCATAGATACTCTAAGAATTCTTGTTTCTGTTTCCTATCCTAAATATAATGCTTTCCCTTAATAATTTTGCCTTCCCCTGTATCTTCCTACTTTAATTGATCAATACAGGACCATCTTAGCTTCCTCCCTGGGTACCAGTTCCAAGACCAAAATATCCTGTCTTCTGAGAGCCATAGCTTCCTTGGATACTTAATAAGAACGTAAAAATTTGGCTGGGCTCAGTGGCTTAGCCTGTAATCTCAGCACTTTGGGAGGAGGCAAGTGGATTGCCTGAGCCTGCAGGTTCAAGACCAGCCCTGGCAACTTGGTGAGATCTTGTCTTTACAATTAAAAAAAAAAAATTAGCTGGGTGTGGTAGCACGTGCCCAGATACTTGGAAGGTGGAGGCAGAAGGATCCCCCGGAGCCTAGCAGGTCAACGCTGGGGTGACCATGAGCATGCCACTACACTCCAGCCTGGGCGATGAAGTGAGAATCCAACTCAAAAAAAAAAAAAAAAAGAATGTAAACATTCAAAACAAATAATTGAAACATTCTCTTACTGATGCAGACCACAAGAAGAAAGAATATTTTTTGGAGACCCTACGGCAGTATCACCCCAAAGCAGTCATTTGACTTGACCCTTAGTTATCACATGGCAGTCCCAGTCCCTGGAGCCATGCAAGCACATACTCTGCCTCAGTCTGTATGCTGCCACCTTTATCAAAACCTTCCTGACCAACCCACCAAGTCCACAAAGAGAAAGCAGGTCCTCTGACCAAGGCAGAGGACAATCAGATCAACACGTGGGTTGAGACAAAGGCCTTCAGTGAAGGGTCACACACATTCATCTCTCCTGACGATATTTATTACCATCCAAACATATTTTCAACAGGGAAGGACACAATCCCTAATTTCCCTAGGATTCACATTTTTCAAGTTTTCTAGGGACTCCATCTTTCATGGAATCCTCTTGTTCCTCTGGAGTCTAGAACAAGACTCCAGAGTTTTATATACCTTTTTTTCACACTGGTGGGAGAAAGTCTGTCTCTGCAAAGGGTAACCAAACACCCATTTCCTCTGCCAATTTTTGGGTTGACCTGTAAATCCACCTTATTTCCCTTAGGTCTCTGGTTCCTTCTGTCTGAGGTTACATTTATGTGTATTATCTGTCAATGAGCACTCCTGTCAGGCCACTATAGGGCATTAGTGACTTGACCTGCAGTGTCCATGGCTTCCCAGCTGGGGCTTTCAGGACAGATGAAATTTACAAGCAGTGTTTTATTGACTCTAGTTTGTTTTCCAGGAGACCAGGCCCCTCTTCTTTGGTCACAAGGGCCTCAGGAGCCACAGTGCTCCTTCTGAATGTCCCAAGTGAGGAAGTAGTAACAGAAAGATCACATGGATTCCCAAAGTTTGTTGGGATAAATATTGGACATAGTGAGGTACCCAAATCACAACTTGGCTGAATATACCAAGAGGGCAGGTACATCTTGGGACAGAATGGACTTAATAGAGAATTATGTTCTCAGTAGGTCACCTTAAATACTTGCCATCCTTACTAGCACAGACAGCACTCCTTTTTAGTTTTATGCTGATCCTTTGCTGCCTCTGCAACTCCCTCACAATGAGTCCCCATTTCCTCTCTATATTTTTACCTGAAAAATGCAGAGGTGATTTGGTTGGCTGGCAAGGTATATTAGCTCTTGACAAGACCCTGTGAATATTCTAACCTGTGTGAGTCCTCTGATGACTCATAAGACGTGAACTCCGAGAGAAGCTTTCTCCACATTCAGAACATTTATAGGGTCTCTCTCCTGTGTGGGTTCTCAGGTGACGAATTCGATTGGAGCTGTGAGAGAAACTGTCTCCACACTCATGACATGTATAGGGCTTTTCTCCTGTGTGGATTCTCTGGTGCCTGATTAAGTTGGATCTATGAGAGAAATTTTCCCCACAAAGGGTACATTTATATGGTTTCTCTCCCGTGTGCGTTCTCTGATGTCTGGTGAGGTGCATGCCCTGCCGGAAGCTTTTCCCACAAGTCAAACATTCAAAGAGTTTCTTCTCTGCCTTGTGAGCTCCACGGTTTGTAAGAAAGGGGATGCTGTCGCTCATGGCTGCCCCACACTCAGAGAAGGGGTAAAGTCTCTCTTTCTCATGAGTTCTTTCATGAATTACAAGGTGTGAACTCCGAGAGAAACTTTTTCCACACTCGGTACACTTATAGGGTCTCTCTCCGGTATGAATTCTCTGGTGCCGAAGGAGGTTGGAGCTGTGAGCAAAGATCTCCCCACACTCGGGGCACTTGTAGGGCTTCTCCCCTGTATGTGTTCTCTGGTGCCTGTGGAGGTTGGAGTTGCAAGAGAAGCTTTTTCCACATATGTTACACTGATAGGGCTTCTCGCCCGTGTGGGTACGTTGGTGTCGAGTCAGGTGGGTATTTTGACTAAAGCATTTTCCACATTCAAGGCACTTATGGGCCTCCTCTCCCAGGTGGGCTCTGTGTAGTGACAGAAAGTGTGGGTTCCCGCCAAAGACTTCACTGCACTCCACTCCCATACACAGTCTTTCTGCTGTATGTATTCTCTGATGCCTAATCAGGTTTGAGTTGTTAGAGAAATTTTTGCCACACAAGGGACATAAGTGGAGTTTCCTTGGCTGCAGTTCCTTCGATCGCCCCAGTTCTCCACAACTTATAGTTCCTGCTAAGGACTGTTCCATTCGATCCTCTGGGGAAGGCTCCCAATCCCCTTCCACCCTGTCACGAGGTCTTCCCTGCTCAGGACTCCAGGGCACCTCCCCTCTGACCTGGCCAGGGAGTAGCGCCTGAGGGTGGGTATGTTCGGGGGGTACAGACCGAGCATTTTCTTCCAAGTTCTCAAATTTCTCTTCCCCTGGTAGAGAAAGAGAGACAGGAAAACAAAACAACTCTACATTATTTCTACACTGGAGAAAAGAAAATCCCACACATCTACTACTGCCTGTTAGGTCAGAAGCCCAGAAACGCTGGTTCTTCCTCAGTTTCCCATCTTCTCCCTAAAGGTAAAGCACTCCAGAGAGGCATCCAAATACAGAGTGGGGCCATAGCTCAAGGAATCAAGCTCAGACCAGTCCTGGAATTCTCTTCAACTGAGCCTCTAGTTTCTGCCCTTCAGCAATGGGTAGGAGAAAACAGGACTGAGACTATGGTAATGTAAGTGAGCACAAGGGTGAGTGCCTCCTTGAAGTTTGCACCCTCGGTTCCTCACTGGGATGGGACACAGGAAGCAATGTACCTCCCTGGCAGCTGTAATGGGCTGGCCCTGCACCCAAACACTCAAAACGCCTCACTCTTTACTGTAGGAGTCTTGCTGGGCAGGCTGCTCATCTACATTCCTTACCTGGAGCTGGGCTTCTAGGACTCAGGCCCTCTTTGCCACTCTGGACACTGGGATCCCATGGTTTTCCTCCTTGTACCACCTGGGTGCTTGGGACCTTCTGACTGTGAATGTGAGATCCTGTTCACAAAGAAAGAAATAGATTCCTGTATTGCTACTTTCCTCTACCAGGCAAGGAAAACAAAGATAATCTTGTTCCCTGACCCCCGTAGATAAATACAGAATGCTCAATAAATCTGACAACAATGACTGGAATACACACTAAACTATTCCCAGTGATTACCCAGATTAAAAAATTAGGGGAGAGAGACTATGGCTCTTTTGCTTTTAACACATTCATGGGACTTGGGATTTTTTTTCTTTTTTTTTCTTCAATAAGAATGCATGCTTTTATAATTAAAACAATAAAATCAAATGGTCAGGGCAGTGAGTTTCTTGATGAATCAGTTTAATATCATAAAAGAACCTTGACTCTTAAGTACAAATATAAAATAGAACTAAATTCGACTGGGCAACTCCAGAAAGAAAAAAATGTAACATGACAACAACCAGAATAGAAGCTCTAAGAGAACCATGAAGTTATCTAAAAGTGTTATGTCTATACTATGCTAAAAAGAAAAACAAAAACCTCACTCTACCTCCAGTAAACATGGACTCAAAAAGAAGTTTAATTCCAACAAATTGTAATTTGATCTTCTCTTCCTATTTAGCAAACACCGAAAGCGCTCAACTTTGGGCATCAGAGCAGTAAAAAGAGATACAAAAGCCAGTGTAATGGCTCACACCTGCAGTCCCAGGTATTGGAGGCTGAGGCAGGAAGACTGCTTGAGCCCTGGAATTCAGGATAGGCCCGGGTGACATAGCGAGATCCAGTCTCTTAAAAAAAAAAAAAGTGATCAAGATAACCTGAGGCAGTCCCAATGAAGGAAAACAAAAACCAGCAGTAACCCCTTTTGCAGAATTAGTGCAAACAAGTTTATAGCTGTGATTCTCTTCATGCAAACAAGATATATAAAAACATACAATGTGTCTTTCTACTGATGGCAAGGTAGCTGTAATCATAAAGTATAGTCTTGTTTTATGCTGTTTTTTAAGACTTCTCCAGCAGTCTTTTTATCATGAGACTCTTCATACATATAGAAAAGTTGGGGGAACTGTACAATACCTGTATAAACTCCACCTAAATCCAATGATCAGTTTATCGTATTTCATAGGCATCATTTAAAATCTCTGCAACACATAGATGCAACTTAATCCAAACATCCACAAGACCCTCCCCCCCACTTCCTGATATGGGCTATGAGAGTTGATAAGTTGGAATGTTGATACCAGTGTTCCTGAATTTTTGTCTTTGGGGAAGGGCATAGAAATACTAATGGAGCATAGAAAACATGCAAGCTCAGAAGAATAAGCATCTCAAAATGCAAGGAATCAAGAACTTAGAGCCAGCTTCCCCTGCAACACCCCGGGACACCTAGTGTGTGTGATGCCAGCATGTGATCAATGGACTTGATTTGTTCTGCCCTTGCAAGTCTATTATGTTTCAGACTTCCTGCTTAGGCTCTGGCATCTGGGGCTTCAGGCCAGAGCTGCCTGTAAGTGTTGCAACTCAGCAGATGTTTGACTCTCCTGCAGGAGGCTTTAGACAAAGGGAGGTCTCCTATGTAGGTTTCTTGGCAAAACTCAAGAGTTTAAATCTAGGAGATGAAATGTAAAAGGGATAGAACCGTGGTCAGAAATGGCACAGTCATTATCCCTGGAAAATAAGTCCTTACCCAGTGAGTCCACATTCTCATAACTCTCCTGCACCGTGTCCCTGGAGAGGGCCCTCTTACTAGGGTCCTGTTGCCCCCATTCCTCCTGGGAGATGTACACTGCCACGTCCTCTAAGCTCTCAGGCAACTGAAACAGCACAAGATCTCCTTTAGCCCCTGAGACACCAAGAACAATTCAAGCAAAGTCATGGGTTAAAGGGGCAAAATCCAGGGGTGCCAAGCACACTTGTCATGGGGAAGAGGGGTGTCAGGCTTACAGGTGAGATGTGGAGAAGATACTTGTAGTATGGGAGAAAGGATACTCCAAGTGGCAGAAGGGCCCCCCACCAAAACACTCAGGAGAGGAAGAAGGGTACTGGGGGGAGATAATGGAAACTTCCACATCACCTGGGGCCCAGTCATCTCCTTGTCTTCCATGTTCCCTTCAGGAGGAAAAAGAGAAAGCCAGGGAGCAGATAATGCTGAAGGTGACAGAAATTATGATGAGAATGGCACTCCTAATTATTGGCAACCCAAGAATTGTTACAACACAGTATCCATTCCCCAACACTCAGTCTTTGTTTTTAGGATTGAACACCGAATAAAAGGTAAGAGAGGTATAATAAAGTGATATCCAAAATGATAGGGTGACAGTAAAGGAATACCACCCATAGCATTCCAAACCCCTCATCATTCTTGTAGCTTGAAATCACCTCTGTTCTGCACACAAAAGTACTCTACTAAGAGATACCCCCCCACCCCACCCCCAAGAAGAACCCACACCACCACTTCTAGGGTCTTTCACATCTGAGAACCTAGATTTCAGAAATTCCTCTCCTTAGCACCAGTGCTCCATCCTGCTAGTGTCAGAGGCAACCCCGAAGCCCCTCCTCCCTCCCACCTGCCCAGGCAACTGTTCCTCACCCCTCTCCTTTACAGCCTGGGGGTCCCTTTTGGGGCTGGGGCCTAGTAGCTCCTGCAGCCTGGGGCCAGGGCTTCGCTCAGTCTCCATTGGCTCCAGCTTGAAGCTCGGTGACTCTCGTGCTGTTTCCAGAGGCAAAGGCTCCTCCAAAAGCACTTCTGATCCCCGCCCATGGTTTGTGACCTGGGAACCAACCCACATCACTCATCATCACAGAGCCCAACAGGAAGGGAAATTAGTACCGGATTCTGAGGGCAAGCCTTCAACAGCGAATCACAGGTGACCCCTTTGGGCTCAGCGAGAGAGAAGAATGGTTTACACTAAAGGCTTTTTTATCCCATGTACATCAGTGAAAATGGGGAGGATCCAGTTCCGGTGCACATCTTCCCCCCACAGCTCTTTTGTTACACCTCACTCCTTAATACTCTTCCCACCTTTTCTAGACGCTTCTATTCCTCAATATTGGATAAGCTAAACTTGTGTGGTCCTGGAGGGCAGTGACCTCAGGGCTAAATTGTTTTTCAAAAGTCACAGTTAACAGAGGCCCAGCTCTGCAGAAAGAGATCAGACTGTTGACTCTAATATAACGATAGCTAACGGGTATTAAGCACTAATTATAAGCCAGTAGTGTGATCAAAACTTTACATGCTGCTCTCCCTCTGGTCCTCAAAACAGCCCAGGAAAGTATTTTATCATCTTCATTTTACCAGTGTAAAAGCTGAGGTCCAAAGAGATCAAGGAACTTGCCCAAAGTAACAGAACTAGTACTAGCAGAGAGAGAACTGAAACGCGGGCGATTTAACTCCATTGTTGGGCTAACATTGTTGCAAAAGCACTACCTCCCTGTGGAAACAGAGCCCTCGTCACTGCTCACTCTGTTCACTTGGAGGAAATTCGGAGGATGAGTGTTCCAAGTTAAATCACAGAAAGTCCTCTTCCCCACGTAAGGTCTACTCAGGGCAGTCAAGTAAATTCAACTGGGGGCGCGATGTCCCAGTCCACAGGGCTAAACCGCAGATAAACAACTCTGCGGCTCTCACCTGTTGTCTCAGTCTCCCAAGCTCTCTTTGCATATCCTCCACCAGAATCACCGCTTCTTCGCCGCTCTCCGGATGCAGCTCCTGTACCCGGCTCTGGATCTCCTGGGGCAAGATGGTCAGGAACTGCTCCAGCACCAGAAGCTCCAGGATCTGCTCTTTAGTGCGCATCTCAGGTCGCAGCCACCCATGGCAAAGCTCCTGGAGCCGGTTGAGAGCTTCCCGGGGACCAGATGCCTCCTGGAAGCGGAATCGTCTGAAGCGCAGGTGTGAGGCCTCGGGGCTCGGCGCTGGATTAGGTAGAGGCAGCTCCTGGCTCCAGGCGCAGTCCTCCTCCAGTTTCACTATCAGGAGCCCTTCCCGTTCCTGGGAGCCTGAGCCCGATGCCATCGTCAGGTCCCCGGAGCGCCTTGGCTCCGAAACCAGCTGCGCCCGCCTAGGAAGGCGCCCTGAACCCCGTGCAAGGATGGAGGGCGCCGACAGGGGCCCGGGGCTCCAAGCCCCGGCCGAAGAGCCCAGTTTCCGGACGCAGCCGGCTCCGGCGACAAGGCCTCAGTCGGTCCCGGGCACCGACGCGCCGGCCCCCTGGCCAACACCCGCCAGGATTTCCCGGAGGCAGGACCCCAGAGCAGCGCTTCTCACCCCGTCACAGACCCACGCAGGAGTCAAGCGTTCGGCGCCCACGCCGGAAGTCCCAGCGCGCGAGTTAGCCGTCCACAAGACAACAGCGCCTGCGCGGAGCCAGCTTCCGGATCACGTTTTGCGAACTATAGCGCCTATTGGGTCAGGTCTCGCTCACTGCCGACCAACGGAAAGGAAAGATTTGTGGGCGGGGGCGGGGGCGGGGGCGGGACGAGTGAGGGTCCAATTGGAGAGGGCTGGTGGGGCCCTCCGGCGAGCCGAGGAATCCCGGGGCGGGGCCGCTAAGACCGGGAGAGGAAAATAAGCCCCGGGCGGTTGTGACTAGCGGACAACCTGGGTCTGAATATTCCTCGGGGAAGCTTATTAAAATGCAAATCCCAGAGCACTGCGATACCCAATGCCTCAACGTGTTGGGGTAGGGCCCGGAAATCTGGATTGTTAACAAGCGTCCCCAAGGCAGGGGTGGCAGGAGTGTCTCGCCCGCCCCTGGGGCCTTGGACACTCGGGAAGTCGGGGCCTGCTCCATCGCCCGCTCGAGCTGCCCTGCCCCCGCCAGTGGCGCCGCGTGGCCGTCCCTGCGGGGCCTGCCGGGAGTTGCGGTCCGTGGCGCAACCCCGCGACTGCGCCTGCGCCATAGGCGAGCCCACGCTCGCCCGCGAGGTCGTGAAGGTCTCGGCCAGGGTGCCTCTTCCCTGTTGGGCTGGAGTCTTGCTTCGGGAGACCGGGTGTTCCAGAGGAGCACTCTGGGCCCGGCTCTCGCCTCGGCTTCCGATTTTAGGTTGTATTTTATTTTATTTTATTCTGTATTTATTTTTTAGAGACAGGATCTAGCTCTCTGTCCCAGGCTGGAGTGGAGAGGCGTGATCATAGTTCCTCCTGTCTCAGCCGCTTGAGTTTCCGGGACCACCGGCGCGCGCTACCACGTCCGGCCAATTTTAAAAAATAATATATATATTTTTGTAGACACGGGGTCTTGCTATGTTGCCCAGACTGGTCTTGAACTCCTGCCTTGGCCCCCCAAAGTGCTGGGATTACAGACTGAGCCACCGCGCGCCGCTTAGACCGGATTCTGCGTTTGCGTGGGACGTGCAGTCTTCATGATTCTCCAAGTGCTCTGGAGGGCAAAATTGTTCTTCATCTCCTCCCAGCTCTGTCGTGAGCTCATCGTGAGGGGCGAATGGAAGGAAACCAGGAGGGTCGATTTTCTGCTCGGCACAGTTAATGGACTTTGTGTCAGTGAGGGAAGGCTACCCGGCTGGCTGAAGCACCCATCCAAGGCCAAGGTCGGCCCATGTCTTTGAATGTCTCCACCAATGGTCAGGTCGCTTATTGACTGTTGCAATTCGATCCTCAGAACACAAAATTGTATGAAGTAGATGCTATTATCAGCCCCTTCTTACAGGTAATGGCACCGTTGTCTGTGAAGTCATTTGCCTAGGGTCACATAGCTGGTCTGTCACTGCAGTTGAGGCTAGGATGATGGTAAAGGGTAATATGGGATGGAAGAGGGTTGATTTTGGTAGGTAGAAAGAGTACTGAGTATTTGGGCTTTATTCCTGTTCCATTCCAGGAAAGAGGACAAGTCCGCTAGCTATCATGGCAAATGCAGACCAGAGGCCACATGACACACAAGGTCCATTTTGGAAAACCTAATTTAACCTTGTGCCCTCAGAGTCCTCTAAGTCTGGTGTGTTTAGGCATTCCTATTTCAGCAGACATAGATTCTACCTCATAAACAGTTTTGAGACTATAGATTCTAGCCTCAGAACCACTTTTCTCTGGCATTTACTATGTGATCTCAGGCAAACTATTTAATCTGACTAAGCTCCAAGTCTCAGTTCACTCATCTGTTTTGAGGGAATGATATTATACCTGCTTCATAACACTGGGTTGGGATTAAATGAGCTAAGATACATAGGATGCTTAGAACAGTACCTGATGCATAATATGGACTCAATAAATAGCTGTTATTAATGCATAGCAAATTGCCAGATATGTACCCTATCTCATAAAAAAGCCACTTGGATTATTATTGCAGAATGTGGGGCATGGGAATGTTTGCAGAACACATACCTTGAGATAAGAATGAGGGATTAATCATTGGCTAGCTAAGGTCCCTTTGCTTTTAGGCTATCAGTATGTACTTAAAGGTAGATGAACTTTCAGGGTTATTCAAAATTACTGTTATTATTTCTTTGTGGCCTACCTATATGTGGAAGACCGAATAGCTGGTATTTGACATTACAGGCCAGGAGATCTAAAGGGGTTCATTTGGGACCAGGGTTCTAGCATCCATGTCTAGAGCAGTAGTGTCCAATAAAACTTTCTGTACTGTCCAAGAACACTTTAAATGGAGTTCGTGTTGCTAAGCATGCCATATGGCTATCATATTGTCCAGCACAGTTCTAGAGTTCATGGATAAGTTTGGAGATTTTACAAACTTTTTGATAGTATATGCAAAATTGCGTGTGTGTTTTATTTTTTGTATGTGTATTTTCTAGAAATTGGCCATAGCTTTCATCAAGTTCTCAAAATCACCAAAAAGACTAAGAACTGCTACTTTAGGGCTTTGGTGAAAAGTGAGTTAAGAGAAGTATGCCCGTTTGTAACCACTACTGAGTTTACTTTTTTTTTTTTTTTGCAGAACAAATGCTGAGTCTCAGATGACCCACCCTCTACTGATTGTTTTTTCTTTTCTTTCTTTTTTTTTTTTTTCCAAGTCAGGGTCTCACTCTGTTATCCAGGATGGAGTGCAGTGTAACTGTGGCATCAAACTCCTGAGCTCAGGTGATCCTTCCGCCTCAGCCTCCAAGAAGCTGGGACTGCAGGCACATGCCACTACACATGGCTAATTTTAATTTTTTTTGTAGAGACGAGGTCTTGCTATGTTGCCCAGGCTGGTCTTGAACTCCTGGGCTCAAGCAATCCTCACACCTCAGCCTCCCAAAGTACTGGGATTACAGGTGTGAGCAGTTGTGTCCAGTCCTGATTCTACTTTCTTATACAGTAGGTCCTCTCTTAACATTCTTGATAGGTTCTTAGAAATTTCACCTTTAAGGACATTTCACTGTAAGGTTAATGAGAAAAAAAAAATTGGTTTCATTATATGCCATTTCTATTAAAGTCACAGTTTCTAAGACCTACCAGTGACATTAAGTGACAACTTGTATTTTCTTGTCCTCAGTTGTAGGTGACTTCCTGACTGTTACAGAGATAAACAAAATTGAATCGTAGATAAAGAACCCCTACTACTCCTAGTTTAGGTTTTAGTGTGTATTCGGCTCTGTCTCTGGGCTGCTTCTGGTCCTTAACTAGCTCGTACATGTTCCACAGTTGTCTGGGCCTGGTTTTCAAAGTGGCATTTGATGAACTTTACAGTGCGAAAACATTCAAGCTTACTCTATGGGTGGGAACAGACAAATGAGCAGCTGCAGTCATTCTGTATTGGTGCTTTTCCTGCCTTTCATCTTAGGGTATCCTCAGCCTCCGTACTTCTACCACTCTAAGCCTTAGCTGCTTGTCACTCTTCCCAGTGTTGGTTTTTTTCCTCTTTTACAGTTTTCATTTGATCTATGACTCGGGATTTTCTTTTTCCTGTACCACATTACTCTTTGATCCTACTCTTAGCTTTGAAATCCAATCATAAACAAAATAGGAAATTTAATTTTATTTGTAATACTTGTTATTTTTATTAATCTGAAATATATCGTCCTTTCTCCGTGGAAATATAAAAGAAGGCACTTTGTACCACTTTCTATATTTTGATAAAATTTAAATTTTCTTGTGGATTAGCATTAACCAGACTATCTTGTTAATATTCTCTGATAATGTTGATATTTAAACTTATTCCTCTATTTGGATATTAAGTCACTGTTTACCACCCATGTTTTCTTGCAGGCTAGTAAACTTTGTCAGAGATGAGGAGGGAGAAGAAGGAACATGGAAAGAGAGTACAAACCATAACTCTGTTGGTGAGAGAAGGAAGGGTAGGCCACAGCAGGAGAGCAAACAAGGACATTTTGCTAGCTGTCTTTGGATTGACAGAAATATTCTCGAATAGTTGTTTTGGTTAATATCAAGACAATCCACTTCTAGATTTCAGCTAAACAAACATTTACGGACTGTTTTTACTGGTTACCAGTGAAACCAGTTCAGATACCAATTTTTATTTGAAAAGCTCTTAACTGAAATTAATCCAGGACATAGTTGGGTTTTTTTGTTTGTTTGTTTGTTTTTTGAGTTGAAGTCTCACTCTGTCGCCCAGACTGGAGTACAGTGGCATGCTCCCGGCCACCGCAGCCTCGACCTGCTGGGCTCTGGCGATCCTTCCGCCTCAGCCTTCCAAGTAGCTGGAACTACAGGCACACGCTACCACCCGGCTAATTTTTTATTTATTGTAGAGATGAGGTCTCGCCAAGTTGCCCCGGGGTGGGTCTTGAACCCGCAGGCTCAGGCGATCCACTCACCTCAGCCTCCCAAAGCGCAGGATTACAGGCTGAGCCACTGAACCCAGCCCCATAGTTTCTTAACTACCACATTTACCTTTCTACCTCTTCTCTTGAACTCAGTAAGAAAATAGTTCTCGCCATTGACTTGCTAAGCTATGTATGGCCTGGCCACATGTTCTTTGAGCTATGGCCAGGCCATGTTTTCCTGAGCTTTTGCCCCCCTCCCCTACCCCTCAACCCCCGCATTCATCCTCATTTCTTTATTAAACTCTGATGTGTCCATGTAGCTCCTTGAGCTGTGGTTGCCATTGCCTTGCTGAGCTATGGTGTGGCCAATGTGTTCTTTGAACTATGGCTGCTGCCATGTTTCCTAAGTTTGGGCCCCCTCCCCTACCTTGGGGAAGTGAACTTTCTCTCTCTCTCTAATTTACTTTCTAAATAAACTATATTTTCCAATCTAAAAAGAAAGTAGTTCTCAGTTTTCATACAGTCAGACTTTTAGGAAGATTTCTTTTTCTTTATCTTTTTCTTTTTGAGTCGGGGTCTCATTCTGTTACCCAGGATCACTGCAGCCTCAAACTCCTGGGCTCATGTGATCCTTCCGTCTTAGCCTCCCAAGTATTTGGGACTACAGCTGTATATCACCATG